CGGATCGATACAGCTATGATAATGATAACAAACTAAAGCCAAAGAATCCATAAAACCAGCTATATATTGATAGGTTCATAAAAAAACATGCTATATGTGTGAAGGCACAAGCAAATCGGCTAAATAGTCGATGCATGCATAACAAACAAACAGAGTACATATCTCGATCATGAACAAAGCCACTAATCGATAATCTCTAATCCGAAGTCTTACCAGTGAGGTTCAACCGGGTTGATGCAGCTATGGTGGTGTCATTAGATTAGATCTCATTAACTAGTGAGTTTATTCAAGATTGAAACATGTCTTCGAATGCATACTATGTTTGATTGGAATAGGGATAAAACAGCCAATCTACCAGAATTAAGCCATCAATTGTGAGATTTATAGTATGAACAGACTAGAAGATGACCAATTATGATGATATGATGTCGATCTATCTCTATCTCAATCAGATGATTTGTTATGATTAATGGAACATTAATAATAACAAGATCGATAACTGGTGAATCAACTGAAAAATAGCAAGGAAAAACTTACTAATCTTAGCAGATTCGATAACTGGTGATATTGTATTAAACAACAAGTTATTTAACACAAGATCGATAACTTTGATCTATATTATGATTCAGTAAGAGATCAATCAGCTGATGCAGCCTTACAAATAATGATCCAGATCGATAACTAACCTATATTATACTCGTAAAAGATCAATCGTCGATGCAGCTTTACAAGTATGATACAAGTCATGACGGTAATCACAGACAAGCTGAAGGTCGATCAGTCGATGCAGCCCTGCTTGTTGAAGAACTCATCGAGATTTACAGTACTCCTACTCCTAAGGGTTGGCGTGAAGCCAAAAAAGTAATTATATTGATTGATTGTGTGATATCCCTTTTACAAAAAAAACAGGGTCCAATATTTATACCCGGAACCTAAACATGAATCCTACTCAAATACAACTCATTACAATTCTTGGAACAAAAGAAAACATTCCTAAAATAACTTGGACCCTAATCTTTTCCTTTTTGTAGAGTCCAACATATTTTTCCCCGATGCCATCCATACGTAGTCCATCGACGCTATCTGCTAACGTCATCTATAAAATAGCCGATTCTACACTGCCTCAAAACCAGCCAATATCGATTCACATCAGATTGATTCCATGATGATACAATCTTAGAAGCTTCGAGTTCCCGCTTTCTTCTTTCCAAATTTTGGTGTAAACAGTTTCAAAACCGATTAGTGAAAACAACATAGCTTTCAACTGATTACATTAATATAAGTTCCACATACATTGCTAGCATAAGTGACATCATCTGATAGAAGCATATAGATGAGAAATAAATATAGAGTTACTAAGCCCACCGGTGGTTAGCCAACATCTTCCTCAGTCCGAGAATTTCACCTGCAACATGGTGGGATAAACCTTGAGTACTCGAATGTACTCAGCTAGACTTACCCGTCATAAACCAAAAATAAAGTGACACCAAGGATTATGTAAGGCTTTATAAGTGGAGCTACCTTGATAATATTTTACATAAAAAGCCACTAATTCAGCTATACATTTTATAATTTGGTCATCAAGTTAATTATAGCTATTCATCTCTAGATTAGCAACTAACCTGTGCCAAACATGTGGTATATCATTTAGTAACATGCAATAGTAACCATAGCCGGTGTAATAATTCCATGTTCATCATAACCATCATATTCCATAATTCAATTACTACGATGCTGGAGCTATGCAAGTTTCTCACTATCCAGGAGAGACGACGATTTGAATCGATTTCAACCAGCTTGTAATTTATTCCTAACACAAACTCAGACATACCTGCGTCAAGGTAGTCTTAGGTCACCTTTGCTACAACTCAGGTCCACATTTCACGGGTTCGATCAGTGCCGCATAATCAGGGACAACCAGGTGCCAGGACGATTAGGACTACCCTTCCCTTGGGCTCACGTCTGGCTCCCCGCACATCCTTACTACCATCCAGAGTGCGCACTTTCATAGAATGGGTCCCGGCCTAAGTTGAGCTACTCGGCTTCGTGGTCGGAATGAGTTATTCGGCCAGCTTAGTGAGAGGCATGCGTTCAATCTCAATAGAAGTTCAAACAATGGTATGGTCCTTAATCGGCACAGACGGAATCACATGAGCCAACCTACACATAGACTCCATCCGACCTCCAGTTACATTATCCCATGGTTCTTTTCCACGATAGCAAATATAGCCAACTATGCTTCGGTATCCACCTATATCTCGCAGGTGACAGGAAATCACCCAACTTCTACCGGTCTAAGCATGGCTAAGCATATATTCAATCCTGGACCTACACAGGGTTAAAGGTATATTTATCTGGACAAGGTAGTTCTATGCATCAAGTGTTTCCAATTCAACTCTTACAACCTAATGCATGAAACATAAAGGACTCAAGTGATATTTGTAAAAACATAGGAGGCTTAGAATGCTCGGGGTTTGCCTGGGATCCAACACTATGTTAGTGTTTGTTAGATGACACTCGCTTGGTGAGCATCTCCCATCTCGGTACTTGCTTAGTCCTTCTATCTTCTAGATGGATTCACCAAACTCCATCTTCGGGTTCGGCTCCAACATCATGTCCTTCACGTGGTGCATCTAGCGTACCTAAATGAGGTGCAACAATGCATATGTATGAATGCATGGAAGTGCAACACGCAAAGCATTCATAAAAGTACACCAAACTAATATAAGCACTTAGAGCTATTTAACTTAATCATCACTCAAGCATAACATAGGAGATGGCAAGCACATCAAGCATGGCACCCAAATTACTTGAGTGTAGCCATGGCAAGTATTCATCAATTGATGTCAACTGAACATGTTTAACCAACCAGGGAAAGCTAAAGCAATCCACCTACACATGCAGTTCCTAGACATCAGCACAGCAGTCACTTGTTTCAGTTATAAACAGAGACCCCAACATCCAATAAAGGTGATCCTAGACTTTCTGGAAAGATAATGAAATTATCTATAACTTTGTTATTAATACCAAAAGCTGATTCAACAAATAACATGGTCAAAATATATCATGAAGCAGAGCTTATACAACTAAGGACAGAAAACTGACATGAACTTCAGAAATGCATAACTAGAGTTTTAATCATCCAACAGACATGATTCTTAACTTTATGGAAATATTATTAAGTTTCCTATAACTTTCTTATTATCATCTTAAGATGATTCTACAGCTAACAAGGTTAAACAACCCAATGAAGACATCTCTGTCTAGATTTGGATAGAATCTGTCATTCCACTTTAAATAGATATAACTGGTGTTCTAAACCACCAAAAGCTATGATCTTAGATATTTTTGAAATCTTACAAAAAGCACTACAACTCTCCTATTATCACCAATACATGATTCCATGTTTAAATAAACCAAATAATACAATCATTCAGATCAGTTTAGAGTACATGCAAAAGCTGACAGCAAACTTGTAAAATCTAGAGTAATATGCATCGTAGGACCTTGAACTTGTCTTGGGTGTCACTTAGGTCCACAAACTCTCAAATCGTACTTCTAGCACCCTAATGTTGTTTAAGTATGCCACTTAGGTCCATAACTCATCGGAACAATGTTTTGGCCAACGTGGCGTGGACAGCGTGGCGCTGACTGTGTCTAAGCGCACGTGAGCCTGATTTTCAACTGGCCGGTACGGCGGTGGCCATTGTCGGAGGCAAAACCTCACCGACGAACACAGAGAAGGACCTACAGGCCATGATTCGTCTTGGTAAAATCATGGGATGAAAGAGGAGATGAAAGCGAGCTCACCACGGGGCTTCTCGCGACCGGAGGTAGCTTCCAAGACGGCGTACGGCTCAGCGAGCGGACGACAACTCACGCCCTGTACTTTTCTCCTGTACTTTTTAAAGATGGCGGACCGTGTATGGCTCGGTGAGCGTTCGAGCGCCATTATGGTGCATGCTCGTGCTGCTGCTACTGCACCTATCTTGTTGCATGCGCCGTATTGTGTCATGCTGTCAGCCGGTTGTGCCGCTGCCATTGCCTTCTGCCTGTCGCCATGACTTTGCCGAGCTATGCCATGCGTGCGTTCACACCCTCCTGAGGCAGCGCCCTTCGTCCAACCGAGTCACGATGACCCATCAATGCCTGGCTCGCCTGCTCGTAAGTGGACGCCCTGCTCCGACCATTATTGGCCTTAACCGAGCCGGAGTAGTCGATGTTGTCTCCACCGGGTGTAGCTTAGAAAAACCGCACCCTTCACCTTTCAAATTCGCACTGCCCCGAGCCTCCCGGTCCAATTCCTCGCACTAGAGAGTATCCATGAAAGTTGCCTAGCCATCCAAACCACGTCAAGCCTCAGCCGTTCACTATCCCCGCCCAATTTTAGAGTTTCCGAGCCGTCGGTCATCTCGCCGCCGAAACAGAACATCCTTCGAGGTAAGCCTCTACGGTGGGAGTTAGCTCAATTCCTTGAACCAGTCGATTGATCCTAACCATATAGTGTTGCTTCTCACCGTAGATTGGCCTAAGACCCCGCCGATGATGAGCTAACGTAGCCCGGCCAACCTTCGTGTGCTGTTGCCCTATCACGCGCACGTGGGTAGCTCGCCGTGTATCATCTCCGCTCCTACCAATGATACTTATGAATCCTAGGTGATCCCATCCAGCTACCTGGGTTGTTCCCGACATGTTAGCGCCACCTCATTTGGCCGGGCAGCGATTGCTGCCGTCTTGGTTGTGTCCGTGCGTTGCTGCTCGCTTCAGTTACGTGACATTTAGAGGGAGGAGTTTTGTGCAAGCCATGCATGACGACGACGCCCCAGCGCAGATGCGGCGGCGGTCGGTCGGCGTGCTCGGCGTGGGCGCAACCGCTCTAGGCGGGAGCATGGCGCGCGCGCCGCAAGGGCACTAGCAAAGCACCACTTGCCCGCCGCTAGGCTTGCCAGCCCAAATGCGGCCGCCTAGGGGCCCTGAGCTCAAACGCAGCCAGTGAGGGCATGGCTGGTGAGGGCCACGACCGCAAGCAGCGGGAGGTGCGCATGTCGCTGCCCAGCGCTGAGCGTGCGTGGGCGCCATACGTCGACTTCCTCAAGACCGCATCATCGCGATGTGATCCAGCGATGTGGTGCGCGACATCCACCGAAGCGCGGCGTGACATGGTGTGGGTCGGTGCCGATGCCCACGCATGGCGGAGCTTCTTGCTGCCCTCCATCGACCATCAGCGTCTACGGCTGAGGGCCGTGTCGATGCTCGGCACCCTCGGCCTCGCCGGTAGCGCCGGTCACTCCAGCTCGTGCAGGCACGCGACGCTGTCAGTGGAGGAGATGATGAAGGGCAACAATGACCATGCCCCTGAAGCTCCGCACGTCGACGCTGATGCCGCCCAACAAGCCTGAGGTGATCAACGCGTGGGAGCTCATGGCGGGCTTGAGGACGACGTGCCGACGCCGCGCGCCACGTACAAGAGTCTACCACTCGATGAGTCACCATAGGAGTTCGCCTTGGAGGCGTCGCCACTGCCGTAGTGGATGCAGGCCGACATGGACATGCCCATCGCCTTGGTGTCGCCCCTATGGCCACCGGGAGGCGAGCGGAAGGCTGTGGTGTACTTCACGAGCCTCCGCGACGTGCGCAAGATGTTCGTGGACTGCTGCGCCATGCGCAGCATCCTGCACAGCTACGGCATGTACCAAGATGAGCGTGATGTCTCCATGCACGCCATCTTCAAGGCTGAGCTCACAGAGCTCCTCGGGCCCGGCTTCGCTGGCGCCGCGCTCCCGCTCATGTTCGTCGACGGCCAGTACCTCGGCGGCGCCGAGGACGTGCACTTCCTGCATGAGGCGGGCGAGCTCGGGCGTGCCCTGGAGGAGTGCGAGGCCACACCCCCATGGAAGCTCGGGTACATGGAGGCGTGCGCCGCCTGCGGCGACGTCCGGTTCATGACGTGAGAGAAAAGGAAAGGTCTATTTCTTTAATAAGAAAACGCGTGGTTTACATGCGCTTGCGCCACGCTAGCCACACCATGTCAGCTAAAACTTTGTTCCGATGAGTTATGGATCTAAGTGGCATACTTAAACAACATTAAGGTGCCAGAAAGACAATTTGAGAGTTTATGGACCTAAGTGGCACTCCAAGACAAGTTTAAGGGCCTACGATGCATATTACTCTAAAATCTATAACTCCTAAACCAGCAGGCCTAAAATCATGAAATTTTAGGACACGAAATATAAGGAATTTATCTACAACTTTAGTATTCAACACATTCATAGAAAACATAATTATCACCATGAAATTAATTGCTTAACCAAAACTATACATACAGCCCAAACAACAGAGGCATACTGCATTCATCTACCATTTAGTTGCTACAAACTAACATATTCTTGACATATATGCTACCCCAAACGTCTTGGAATCATATTCAAACAATCATAGCATGTAGGAATAACTACTAGAAGCATCACATGACAATAAATACATGTATATGCTCACAACATTCATCATCTACTTTAATAATACAACATATGTATTATTTTTAGTACTATATGAGAACAACTAGTTTGGGGCTTAGACTTTTATGAGTGGTAGATGTTATCAAAACATGGCTACTGCATAAATTTCATATGCTTAGGTTCTATAATTTAATTGCTATGAAAAAGACAAATATTAATTATTAATAAACATGCGAGAACAAGATAAATCTAAAGATCATTATTTTCTATAATCATATAGCCATATTAGGGTTTCTGAGGCCACATTATCACCATGCAAGGGCAAAGGAACCACATTTCACATTTTTAAACCTACATAAAAACTATAACTTATTTAAAACCATTTATCAAGCCATAAACAAGTTAAATCAATAAATCAACCATACTGCATCCAATTACCATGAAATTTTTACCACAGCATACATGCAGCATCAGTAGTCTACCATAAAAATTTCACCTCATTGGGAGCACCAAAACTTTAGATATGAATTTATCCCTAGAAAACCCTAATTTACAAAGATAAATATGTACAGTAAAAACTTTCTACTAAAATATATGATATTATGACTCTACTGAATAGATCTACTCTCAAGGATTCCAAAAAGTCTTCATTTGCTATTTTATGATTTTTCTATGATTTATTATGATTTTCCAAAGTTTTAGCCATAAAAGAAAAACAAATTTGCACCGAGACCCCTAAACTTTCACGAAAACAGATTCCATCAAAACAGTCCCTCTAGGCACTATTCACATGAGTCACAGTCTTTGCACTTAAGCCCCTAGAAAAGCTTCTATTTGAAGTGCGAGCCCCTCTTCTTCTTCTCTTCGTCGAGCAGAGCAGGGCGGCAGAGAGAAGGCCGAGATCGGCTGGCTCCAGCCAGTGGTGGGGTAGCGACGACAGTCGTGGGGCCATGGTTGTCCTGGCGAAGGGTGCACCTGCCGGTGCCCTTGGCTCACCTCGCGACGGCTCGACGCTGCCTAGCCGCGCGTACAGGCAACGCCAATGGCAGGCGCTACGGTGGCAGCGAGCTGTAGGCGGTGACACGGTCGAGCAACCAGCATGGGGTGAAGGAGAAAACGAAGGAGGAGGTGGTAGCACTATTGGCTTGCATCGTAGAGGAGTGGAGCAGCAGGATGCAGCGGTGGCAGAGCTCTACCGGCTGTCCATGGCGGACGCGTGCTGCGCGCGTGCAGGGGAGAGGGAGAGCACAGAGGGAGTGGAGAGAGTGAGGGAGAGACTGAGAGGGGGCTCGGGCGTCCGCTCATAGAGGAGCAGGGGCACGACCATGTGGCACGAAGGTGGGGCACTGCTGCGCTGCATGGTGGCCACGCGCCCAGACACGTAGCATCGTTTGGGGCATTTCCCCGACCAGGTGGCGGGCAACGATGTGGCCAGCTCGGGATCCATTTTTGGGCTGGTTCTGGTTAAATTTTGGCCATGGGCCTTGAAACAAAGTTGTTCCTTTCCTGATGCTCTCCCACTCATATTTAGGGTGCTCGGTCATTAGAGCAACAGATTAGTGGGTAATTAGTGCCCAACATGATAATGTCAGCGCGTGGACAGCGATGAGCAAAAATCAAAATTGATGGTCAAAACAAAGTCAAAACTGGTGCCATCTTTTTGCATGATCTTCCCCAAAACATATAGTCCAACTTTTATATTTGGCTCAACTTGAGTTGCTTAACAAAAAATCTGAGAACGCGAGATGCCAATCATCACCAACATTGTAATCTCAGACTTAGCCCAATTTTTGAGATCCAAAACAGCACTGGGTCCAGTTTTGAGGCCATAGTTTGACTAAGTTAGGGACCAAACTAGCTCTTGACCCTTAAACAAAGTTTGTTGTGCACAAACTAAACTACAACTTTCATTAAAGGATCAAGGTTGGGATCAGCTTGGTTTGCAATATATAAAGCTCCAAATTGTGGTACGCGAAACTGAAACCGAGGCTCAGTTAACTCATAGAAACAGTTAGCATTTGCTGCTTTTCAAACTACCTTTGAATGTCTAAACGTGCTCCAAAAGTGATAAGGCTTGTTTTGTTGTTTTCAACACAAAGTGTACTTTAACTCATATTAAGGAATCCAATTGAGTTACCATATGAATTTGGAAGATAAAAATATCACAACATGTCAACTTCTAGCTATTAATCAGAGACTTGGAATTATTTTGGAGGGGCCAAAACAGCACTGCATTCAAACTTGAGACCACTATTTGAGCCACTTAGGAGTCGAAATAGGTCTTGGTCCAAAAATAAAGTTTGTTATACTCCACTCAAACTTCAACTTTTATTTAAGGTCCAACTCCATGCAAGCAATCCAGATAGTTGGTCAACACAGGTCAAAACCATATCATGAAAAGGACAATTTTAGCTATTCCCACACTTAGAATCATTTTCTTGACATTTGCTCAACACGAACCCTTCATGACTTTTGTTGTAGAATTCAATTAGAGTCATTTGGGTAAGGTAGCAAGGTTTGGTCGACATCCCATGTTCCCATTCACCTGAGAAAGCGATTCAAGAAAGATTATAACTTATCATTTTATGTGACTTTTTGGCTCCAAACTTCATGGAACTTTTCCAATAGTCATTGCAGATGGAAATGGATGTGAGGCACATGAAAAGGGGCACCTTCCACATTACTCAAGCATACCTCTAAAAAGGGTCAACATAGAAGCAAGGTGTGTTGTCCAAATTTAAGTTGGGGCACATTATTAGAGAGTTGATCCCAACACCTTTGTCACCACTTACATGTTTGAACTAGAGCTCTTGATTACCACTGAACTTGTTATGTTGGAGCTCAAACCCACTGCTTAACTGGTGAATAACACCTGGGGTCTTACAGACGTGGCAGCCACGTGGTGCGGACGCGGCATCGTATGCGGTTTCGACCTGGGCCAATGTTGGCATCGTCGATTTGGGCCGAGTTGCGGCCGTACATGCACGGGAAGGAGATAGAAGAGGCTCCGGCCCAACGTACACAGAATACATTTTATATTTTCATTTTCCTAGAAAATCAAGAAAAGCAATGTAATAAAATACCTTTATATGTATGATATATTTCTAAGTATTTCAAAGCAAATGAATTAACTAGCATATAATTTGAGAAGAGAAAGGAAGAGAAATTAACCATGTATATGTATATATGCATTATTTCCTAGATAGATGACGTATTGCTAAATAAGGAATGTAACACTAGTATTCATAATGCATTTCCTAAATATTATATATTCTTCTATAACTATGATACAAATTAAAAGTAATGATCTCATATTTCTAGGTTTCCTAATGCATAGAAATTAACTAAAATGTAAGCCAAGAAGGGAGTATTGGAAAGCAAAATTAAACTTATAAAATAATGGGATGGCTATTATAATTCCTAGAGAATAAAATATTATTTATACCTATGATGTATTATCTACATCTATAATATAAAGGAAAGGTTTTAAATAATTCAAGAGTGCAATTGGTAATTAAGGGAAGTCATTTTGGTGCCGCAAATAAATTCCAGAAGGCAAGCATTCAAACACACATGCAGGCAATCATTCAAGCAGTCAGGCTAGCATTCAACATTCAAGCACTCAAGCAATTACAACATTCTAACCTAAATGCATATGGTGAATTTTGATGCATGGGTTTTGGAAAACATTTTCTTTTGAAAATGGTTTTGCAGAAAATAACTAATCGAGTTTTAATTTGTTGTAAAGTTTTAAAAAGTTCAAATTTTTAGTGGTTTTTAATATGATGCAAAACATGGGTGTTGCATAATGAAACTGGCTACAAAATGCCAACTAACAACAAAGAAGCAAAAGTAATAAAGGTAGAACTTGTTCGTGGACTGAGCAAGACTATATTCCGCGGTCGCTACCTTTATGAGGAGGGCAACTTCTAATGGCCATTTTG